AACAGTGATCACGCGAAAAAAAAACATCGCAGAGCGAAGATTCCAAAGATTGTCGGTGAGCGACAATGCTCGCTGGGGAGCAGCTAGCCTCTATTATTGGTGGTTAGCCCAAGGATCAGGCTCTCTTTCAAGATACATGGATAATGGTCAAGGTCATCCGGCAATCAGACACGCATCTACGGTCGGCTGCTCCGACTGACTCACAGGGACCCGCCATATTAACAAAAGACCGCCACTTCCTGGCATCTTTATGAGAAAAAATAATACGTAGATTATATAAAATGTTGACCCAAGACGAAGACAGATGAAAGGCATTTGGCTGGGGAGAAACCAATGAAAAGTGGTCCCATCAGTGAACATTGAGTAGGGAACATGTACATATTAAAACCCACATATGATGTTCATGTACTTAAAAAATTTAAAGGAGCCCAGTCAATTTCCCGAAACTGCCCTCCCCATTCCCATCCCCCCCCCCCCCCAAAAAAAAATCATAAATTTGAAAAACAATCTTCAGAGGATGTTTACTCCCAAAGAATACAGTGTCCTTAATGTGCCATGAAGTATAAACAAAATGGTGAAATTTACTGACCCAATCACCAAAGATGTCACAGATGAAACAATGATCCCAAATGAAATCGATTTTGTAACAGCTACATGTATTAACATAATGAATGTATCTCATCTGAAAGATTGTTTTTTTTCTTCCTTTTTCTGCCCAACACCTCTCAAAAACATGTACATGTACTCGTTGAGACTGGAACATGTGCACACCAGGAAAAAATAATGGAGTTAATTTAAACACACCATAAATGGGTTAAAAATTGAACAACTGGCTCCAGCAATGGAGTAAAATCACAGGTTATGGATTTGGTTATGTAGCAAACTGTCAGTTTGTTAAAGCACACATGGTGGGTGGGCATCTGTAAACTCTAATAGTTTTAAATACAAAAAGCACACACAGTTATTAGTACAGTGACCTACTACATGTAATCTGCATAATTGAATATATACATATTAATTAATGTACCTACATGTATGTACGTACAGTGCATGTACCGTAAGTACACCAAAACATGTGAATAGGACGAGGATTTACATTTACTGTGGTTAAAATGTTATTTTTCAAAAATCACTCTCATTGTAAGTGTGTGAGTCTGGGTGCTATAAATAGACCAATCTGTTAGACTCCGCCCACAGTGCAAGTGTCCAATTACACTTTTTGCGCCACACCAATGCAACAGTACATGTACAGGTACATGCTCCAGCTGGTCGGCCGTGCGCGCCATACGCACGTTCACCAATGTCAGACTTTTGTGCACGCATGTCGGACATTATTCATGTCTGTGATTGGTCGAGACACCAAAGGGCGGGGCTTGAGGGATTGATCGATCTATGGATGAAAAGGTACCGGTATTCATTCCCACTTTACTGTCCGGCTTAGCGGTAAAACATGCTTAGTATAACAACTTGGATAAGTTAAGCCAGTGACAGAAATATTTGGCATCACCGGTAAACACAACACAGAGGAAAATTGGTCTTATATTGTACACGTATGTACAACGTAATTGCCCTCACTTTAACATGACAAGTGTTTTCAACACAAGAGGACCACTTCACACTCGTGAGATGCATACTGCTGATAAAGCTAGTACTTTCATCAGTTCCTTCAAACATGAAGTGGCATTTAACACAACAGTATTTTTTACTTGTGTATACGGTGTACTCACTTCCTTAAAATTGTTACTTCAATTGGCGCATGCTTCAATGCAGCAATGGGATAACGCCAATCCGTGATACAAGGGGAATTCCTTGTATGTATGTGTGTGAGGCTAGCTACCCATTCAAGTAGGCCACTGACAAGTTTGAATCATTAACAGTTGAAATACTGCAAATTGGATGAATAAAACATGAATCATTGGATGTGGCTCTGGATGTTACCCTGGGGAAATATTGGCAGCCACCTGCTGTACGTCTCAGAAGCAGACACCCCCCCCCCCCACCCCATCAAGGAAAAGGCAAGACTCTGCTTCTCACATGTATCACAATTCTTTAATTTTAAGTGTCATTATCTCCGAGCATCAACCAATCTTGTATTTTGCTTTGCTAGTCCCGAAGGGCCAGCCTATACTCTTTGCACCTATCTCACTGACCAACTGACCGACTGACTGTCGCTTTAAAAACAGGCAGTGCTATCCTATAGGATTACCCTGTAACGTCAAAGAACGGGCTAATTCCGGCCCACTGCGTATACAATGTACCATATGTAAAATACTAAGTTCGCCTGTTTTACAGAGCAGATTTTAGGCTGTTGTTGAACTTGGGAGTGTGACGTATCTACAATGTTTGCAACAGGCTTTTTCCTAGTTAGTAAAATTTTGGAATATGACATTTCTAGATGCACTTTGCGTTAAAAGACCCCTTTTCAAAATATTCCCAACGGTCCATATCAATGCGCATGGGCGATATGAAACAAAGGAAATGCATAGATTTGTATCAAATCAACCACATACAGTACATGTCAGTGCAAAGTTTGTTTTATCACACAGTACACTGCACCATCTTAGCACTGTCCCATCTCGTTGCTCAAACCAACATTCAATTGCCACTTCCTTTTCCCCCTTTGTTCCCAGATTCCATTATTGTTCTGTTTTGTTTTTTACTTTGGATGTTTCTGCGTGACAAGAATCTCTTCCTGTTTGTTAGCCCGGGAATGGTGGATTTATTACCCATTTCCTTCTGGAGTTGAGGCGCTGGTGTTCTTTGGGCTGAGTAAGAAAAACTACATACATGTGCAACTTTAGGTAGAGTAATCAAACATATAGTAAGACAATAAAGAATTGTGTTGCCCTCACCCGACCAACCCAAAAATCTGGAAATCTGCGAGTTTTTTTTTTTTTTTTCACTTGACAAACCTCAATCAACTTTAACAATGCCATTACTGTTTCTTTGTAATGCCATAATTTAAAATTTTGTTATAAAATGCACATTAAAATGATAGTACAGTTCAAATGTTGTACGTGTAACTGATAAGACCGAGGCCTGGGGCATGTGGTGCTGTGTACTACATACATGTACATCGTATTCATGTGTGCACATTCTCTGTACATATGTACATTGTATCGCATTCATGTACGTGTACACAGTATAGTTGGCGTGTGCAGTACATGTAGTCAAAACATATCGTGTACGGTACGTTGGTACTGGTAGAGGGGAGCTGGTAACCAACAAGTGGCCATTCTTTCCATTTATTTGTCAATTAGAACAAAGGGAAGGCCTATGTGTACTACCGGTATTTATACCAAAAACAAAAAAGTCCTGACTGATTGACCCTCCTGATATTTTTTCATGTGAGGCCAACACAACCAAATTTTTGGGGGTTTTTGCCTAAAAGTTAGGCAAAATGATCGTAAAATTTATAAGGATATCTGTATTCGTAACTGCTACATGTACATGTACATTAACATTTACATGTACATACATGTATGTTAACTTTTGCCTATCTGACTAATTTGGTGGTCTCAACAGACCAATCTTGATGTGCTAAGCCCCGTCCAATGGTGTTTTAAACAATCACACCTGTGACCAATGTCCGACATGCGTGCACAAGAATCTGACATGCGGCACGCACGTACGCGCGAATGACGCGCTCGGCTGCAACATTCAGCATGGCATTGGAAAGTCGCACGTGTTGTCGCTCACGTGTAATGGAAAGGACTATTGGAACCTGTTACTGAGGTAAACCCACGCTCATTGTGAAGGTCGTACAAATGCACTTAATGCTCCTTTCGACCAATAGGCCTAGGGAAACTCAAATAAATCCTTCATGTAGTGCAAGAAATGAACTTTAGGAAAAGCTCTTTGTTTGGTGGATGGAGAATATGGGAACATCTGTATTGGGATAGCTACTACGTGTACATGTACATTTATTTACATTCAGGAGGTAGTACAACGCAATAAGTTCCGTAAAAAAATAGTTTGTTATAGTGGTAATTCGTTACAGTGCTTAGTGTCAAAGGGGCTGTGATAGCCAAATGTTTGCTATCGCGGTGTTCATTTCAGAAATGTTTTACATGTTTAGAGTGAGTTTTTGGTTTTCCCTAAAACCAAAAATGTTGTTGTTGTTTTTTAATATTGATTCCCCACTACTACTGAAACTGAAATTTCCTTTTTACTTAGCATGTCTTTCCTACATGTACCGGTATCTTGCAAATGCTTTTCCTTTAACGGAATTTCTACCAGTACCGGACCTGGAATGGCTAAAATTCTGAGAATTGGGTGGGGGGGGGGGGAAACAACCATTTATAATTTTCAAAATCTGTTTGGCTATTGCTCAGCTTAAATCCTACATATTCTACTTGTAAAGTTAACAAATATTTAATAATTTTTAAGAAAAAAAATATTATTCAAATTTTTGTCAAGTTTCATACTACAGGATGATGCTCCATGCCGCAAGTCCATATTTCTCGTACGGGTAGATTAGGATGGGAAATTTCAAAGTAAATTTACTGTTAAATGTCAGTTATGAAGGGTTTTATGCAAATGAGAAATGATGAATATGCAAGATGAGTGGGGTAGGTGAATGGTTGGATGGGTACATGCACACGATATCCACTCAACAAAACCATGCCAAAAGCACTGTTCCACAGACTCAATGATCACTGAACGACACCACTTTCCATCAAATCCCAACAACTTCTTGGACAGATTTTCACGAGGATTCAAAAAAAGTTCTCCCATCCCATCCCATCCCGTCCTTTGTCTGTCCACGATACAAAACAATATATGGCCCACAAAAAAAATGAAGAAAAATAATCGTGAGACCAAGGTAAAAAAATGACCGCAACAACAAAAAGAACTAACACGGTGCCCAATCAGCCAAGTCCATCAAGCTCAACATCAACCAATCAAAAATAAGAACAAGAGAACGGCCCGGAAACCACTCAAATACAGTGCAGACGGTTTCTGGGCATGCTCAGTGTGTGTGAGGTTTTGTACGATACCTGACCGACAATTGTTTCTTCTGTGCGACCAATCGCCTCGAGCCACCGCTCTCGCAGGACGGTGGGGCGCTTGGGCACGCGATAAAAATGCCGCGGGTCCTCGGTTCCCTTGTAGCGCGAACGAAACTTGCAATTAGGAAAACCACATGTTGTCGGCATGACTCGAAGACAGGGCCTACCTGCATGCAATGGAAGAAAAATACCAGAAACAGGGAGGAAGAGATAAAGACACATTACTCAACTGCAAGTGCACAAATAGGACACAAGAGAACAGAATGTTAACAGTAAGAGGAGACTAGAGTGACTAAAAGGGCGTGGCTAAGTGGATGGAATTCAGATTAGAGCATAGGACAAAATGATGAATATTAGACCCCGCCCACCTTTACAACCTGCTTTTCTACATTCAACAGAGAACACAGAATGCCAAAAGAGGGAGGGGCAACTCAGGGCGCGGTTAAGTGATAGAATTTGCCATCGAATGGAACACAGGACATTATAGATGGGATTTGACCCCACCCACTTTCGCAACTTGCTTCTCTAGAACAGAGAGCACATAATGCCAAAGGTGGGAGGGGCAACTCAGGGCGCGGTTAAGTGACAGAATTCAGCATTATACACAAACAGAACAGGATCTACAATGGATACGTTTGACAACACCGACCTGGAACACCAAGAATGGGAGAGTGGTATTTCAGGGTGAGGCCGAGTGGACAGAATTCAAGATTGAAGGATCAAAGGTCACAATAGCCGAGATATGGCCCCGCCCACTTCAACCCTTTCTTGCCCTCAGTACAGGACACAAAATACCACAAATGCCAGGGCGTGGCTTCATGATGAAATTCCCGAATATGAAGGTCAAAGATCAAATTGGCTGGCATTTGAACCAAACCAACACAGCTTGCTCCTCCCACTAAGTGGAAAAAACGGCTTGGGATTTTTTAATTAAAACCAATTCACGTTTATAGACATACCACTGGCCTGAGGCCTCTGTTGAATCGGAATAGGTTTGAAAGATTTGCAATCCAAACTTGAAAAAATAACAAGTATTTCCGTTTTCTAAGCATGCATTGCATTTTTTTTTTTTTTTCAGATCCTAACAAAATATAACTTTCAACCCAGGTAGAGTCTGTGCAAGTGGCTCAAAAAAACAACCAAATGAACCGTTTCAAAAGGTTTCAATTTCATCAATCCAAATGTTTGTTTAGGATCAGTTGGTGTCTGATTCCATGACAAGAAGACCGGAGAAGAAAAGTGAACTCACTCAAGGAAATTTCCCTTTCAAATCGGAAAACCCCCAGAAACTACACGCTCTTCCTTGATAGGAAACCAAAACAATCTGATGTACAAAAGTGTATCAACCTGAGACCCAATATTCACGCAGAGTCCTCGAGTAGGAAGCGAACCACGTAAACCAGAAAATTCAACAAGGAAGCAATATACCCCTACTATACTACTGGTACCGTGCTTCAACCTAATTAGCATTCAGAACCATCCTGAATCCTCTAAAAGCCTCCAGTGTGCTGGAAACGAATGGTAGATTCTTTCTACTTTTGACTTTCAAGAGACATCAAGTCCTACTTTAAGTAAATGAACATGGTGGCTAGGTTCTACCATCCTCAATCCTTCAAAATCTATGAAAACCTCCTCCTGGATTTTGCAAGATCTGGGATTGTGGATGGGTTTAATATCAGATGAATAAATGTACCCCAAATACACATGCACAACAAATGAGTTTTTAGAAACCTGAGATAAGTCATGAGGAGTAAGACTATTACTCTCAGAAATAAAAATAATATCCACGGAAACATGTAACACCAAGAAGTGGAGCCTGGTCTTCATAAGCATAGGCCTACCCTGACCAGCCTGCTACAAACACCGAGCCAGAGACACAAAGGCCCCCCATTCAGCCTGTCTTCCTGTATCAAACTTATGCATGCGTACACCTGAGCCGAGCGCCGCTATATAAAGTGACCCAGTACCAATATCAACACGGCAAGACAAGGAGTTAAACCTGGGGCCATATCCTCCCCGCCTCGGATAACAGGGTCCAGAGAAGGCCCAAAAAACATCTCGGGGAAAACCGATACCGCAGGACTTAGGAAAAAGCTCATAAAAATACGGGATATTAAAAAGAAATATAAAAAGGATGGTGTGGGAGATTATTGGGTGTCATTTTTTTTTTTTTAAGCGATGATGCTATGTGGGTATTGTTTACGGGCGCATACACCACTGTCAACGCTTCTTTTGACGGTCGCACGTTTATTCCTTGGTGGTTGCGAATCGAGCATCACTAACACACCGGCCGGATGGAGAAAATAAAAAATCTATAGAAATGTCATTAGGGTATGGGTGAGCAGCTACAAGCAACTGCAGTGGTATTCAGTGTCCCAGTCATTTTTTTTTCTTCTCATTTTTGCGGTAAACGCGAGCAGAAATGATGATAATTTTTCTCAGGGTTTTAGCCCTCACCGGTTGTACTAATAGGTCTGGATGATTCTGCATTCCATTGGCACCCTCTGGTGACTGACTTCTACCCCCAGGGAGTTTGGAGGGGGTCAGGCAGAGATGGTTAAAAAAAAAAAAAAATGAGCAATGAATTATGCAATGTTGCCTGTTGTTTGTGCCACGCCTGGAGCGCAGGATGTTTTTTTTTCCTGAGAGTTGTTTAATTGAATGAAACCGTTTCTACCTGAGAAAAATCAATGGCAACTTTTGCAGCTGGTGTTTAAAATCAGATTGTCTACATTTATCCAAGACCGGAACAAGGGAAGACAGAACTGATGACTTTGATGAATTTAGGCCAACCTTCGAACATTCAGGCTTTACACGTACATGCTGAAGTTAGGTTGTGATCAATGTACAGTGTACATCTAAATACGGGGAAATCATCATTCATCATGCGAGTTCATCCTATAGGGAGTATATAGGGCAATTCCATGAGAATATGGACAAAGCTGGAAAAAATTGAAAATTTATGAAATCTTCAAAACAACTTCAAATGTGATATCAAATTACAGGGGACAACAAGTGCTTTCATTTGAATGATGTGCCAGTGAGATGGAATATAGCAATATTTGTTAGTTCAAAAACTGGATTACGATATTTATTTGTTTTCCTTAAAAATCTGAGTTTTTTGGAATAAGTGAGACCTATGGAAGTGAAGCCAGCAATGTCAATGTTCCCTTCCAGGTGATAAATAGGGAGCTACATTTTTTTTCTCTATTCGCAATTATTGATTTGCTCTTTATGCAATACGATTCACGGTAAATATTCATGGCAAAAAAAAAAAGCAACAAATATTCCTTTAAAAATAATGTAGCCCTGTTGATTATATGGTGAGTTTTATTGGAAACTTATTTTGAGTATATATTTGTGGGGTACAACTTTGGAAAAACTAATTTTGGACATTTTATGCCACTGTAGCGCAAGAGTATGTTGGTAAAATGTCGCCAACATGCGAAGATTAGTGGATGTCTCACACTGCTCATGTACAGCAAGTAAGCCTGCAAGTAAATTAAGTTACTACACAGGCAACTGGCTATGAACATACCAGTACGTGCAGAAGTCAGCTGCCAATTTTAGTTTCCAGTTTTGAATACCATGACAAATGACCCGGCCGGTACATTGTGTACGTCTGGTACTTGCCACACCATGGAATAATACATGCATGGTAGGTCAATGGAGTTACAGGTGTATAGCTTTGGACCAAACAATGGACGCTTTGCAAATTCGGTCAAGCATACTGAACAATGATCTGCTTTTTGATCGACAGCTTCACTGCAAGTTCACATTGGCGCAGTCATACACGGGTATGGGTATACATACTGTACGTATGTACATACATACACATTCAATGAACTTTTTGAGAGTTTACCGTACTTATAACTGTGAACAGATTCTAAACATCAAATGACTGAATCTGCCGTGTACATGCACACTAAGTGAATGCACGTGTACATGTTCAGTAATTTGCCAAAATAATCAATTTATTCTCCATGTACTTACTGGTGCAGCTCTGCAAGTTGGCTAAATCCAATATTACCATTTAGATTGACTTCTACCGATGTGTCAACTACCGATAGCTGCACATACACATACATGTATAAGACATACCAGTACTGGTGCGAAGTTAAAACAAAACAAAAACTTGCGAAATGCAAGTACAGGTACCGGTATTCATTGCAAAACAGAAACCAGCATACTTTCAGGTCACAAAAGGGTACTCGTATTTATAAATGGCACTAGGTTTCCAGGAATAAAATTTCAAAAGTCAATTGGGGTATCAACCAATAAAAAAAATATTATATTTCCCTATAGATGCTGTATTCGTCCTTGTGGTTTCATTTAATTTTGTTCTTTCCTTTATTCGTATTTGTATTTACAAACAAGGGTACCAAGGCTCATGCTGGGCACGGGGCCGAGAGGTCAGTCTTTCCGGTGGGGACTTTTTCTTTGACTCCCCAAGCTTTCCTTCCTGGTAAATCAAGCACTTCCACTGGATAGAACTTTGGGCTGAATAGGGGGATGGGGTCGGGAAACGACTTAGCCATTGAAAGGGATGACTGGTGCGCAAAGTGGGCCTACGCATATGTGTGTAGACAGACGCATTTCATTATCTACATTTTCATGTTTATGTACATTTACTCATACTTCAAATCGATCAACAGGCCTACTAAAGCACCTGCATGCACAAGTTGTCCTTAGCGCTGTGTGGTTCTGGAAAGACGGGAGAATGTTGTAGTCTACTGGAAGACTTGTTGGAAGCAGGAACAGAATTCCTTTCTTTCAATCTTACAAAATCCTCCAGAAGCTGCTGGTGGATTATGAAGGGTCTGTGAGGGTTAATTACAATGTGTATTTAAAGCGCACGTACCGTATCCACCAGTTATGGTGCTCAAGGCACTACATCATTTTTACCCATGTTCACAGGGCCAATGAAACATTAAAAATGCCATATCCCAGCTCCCTGAGGAGTATACAGCCTAGATGCTGACATTTCTGCACAAAGCAGGTAAATCGACTGGTCACAATAACCATCTCTGGCCTCACAGGTAGTGTTGGGCAGTTCCAGAATTTCTGGACCCGGTTCCGTTTCTCTGAAAAGAACCGGTTCCGAGTCGGAACCAGCTCCCGGAAATTCAATGAAAAACATAAGCCCTTGAAATTACATGTAACGTTA